GGGTTTCGAACCCGGTCCCTTCGGTACAGCAGTCAAAGTTAGTAACCACTTTCCCGTCTGGACGGAGCAGGTAGAAAGTTCTACAGAGGTTTGGCGCAGACAGGATTAAAATTATTACAGTGTAAGTTAAAGATTAAAAAAAAAAAAAAAAGGTTCAGGAATATCTTTGTTCCTTCAATAATCTGCTTACTCAAGTATCCGAGTCCAGTACTTACTTATTCGTTAATTCGATTCAGTTGAAACACGCGATTATTCGATTACAGCTATCTGCCTAAGAGAAGAAATGAAGGATTTTTCAAAAGAAAACTGTCTCATCATCCATATCATCACAGATACTTTAGAAAAATCACAACAATTCTCATGCATCTACGCAGTTCTTCGATAGTCGAACTTCTGAGCCTGATTATTAGTGCTCAACTATCGTTCTACTCGACCCTGGGGAGCGTATTCCAGTCCAGTTCTGATTTAATTTTTGAATTTAAAGTCGTGTGCAGTCCGAATCTAAAGTTCGGACATAGCCAGGTTCCTGGCTACCACCATCGATATATAACAATTTAGATATGACGAGTTTCTGGATTTTAAGCTGGCGACCTTTTTGCTGAACTTTTTTCCTCCAAGAAAATGTTCCTGCCCTTAGTTAGATGACAGGCAGTGCTTATGCTTTACTATAATCCAATAAATCCCAGTCCTTCTTTTTGCCCCCAGGATCCATATAACTTATACAACATGCTTCACGTGAAATATGCCACTTAAAACAAGCGCTGCGTGGGACGGATCGCCCCCTTTTCTGTGCCACCGAATAAAGCCAGCAAAAACATTAAAATAGTTGGAAAAATGTTTTTTTTTTTTTTTTTTTTTTTTTTTTTTTGTGTTGTTCTAAAAAAAATCTTAGCTACTCAACGACCTGCTCCGCTACATTTGACACTCTGGGTGGTAGTTCTCCCTTTTCTTCCTATTTCCAAAAATGACATTAATTGTATAAGAATTTATTAGATTTCAGCAACTATTTCTGGTAATAACGTGTTAGTGAAATGCAAAAACTTATTGTTGCATAAGTATATGCACACACAATTCACAAATAAGATGAACGGAAACATGTTCGATGTCTCCCATGTATCTTGATTAAATAAAAAGTAGCAAGTTTGGAAACAGCCTTCTATTTAATACCATCTGAAAGATATTTACTTGTGGATGAAAATCAGAAATGGAGAATGATCAGTTGGATGCCTCCTGAACAGGATTTTAAGAACGTGGAAGAGCTTTTTAAGGACTGAACAGTTAATTATACTAGGGTAACTGCAGCATTTTGAAAATTATTATTAGTTATTGTTTACTGGAATATATCGTTACATAACCATTAAACAATTCGCTTGAGAACCTCTCTTCAGTACTCAATAGCTAATGTTTTGCTTAACAGAGGCTTTAGGCGAGAAAAATACTACACTGCGTTCCGTTTAAGAAAGCTAGTGTTCGTCTTATTCATCACGGAACTTTTTTTATGGCGGGCACTAGCCATTTTAGGCTTTGGCTACTACTAAAGTCAGAAGCAGCGGAGACACCTAATAAGCGGCCATCGTTGCCTTCTATGAAAAGACAAACCAATGTTACATCCATACCTTCTCCGGAATTAGAGCCTGGGCTCTTTGGTATGGCAATTCAGTGTCATTAACCACTTTACCGTCTGGGCAGCCCATTACGGAACCTAAAAAGACTGATCTCGAGTTCCGTTTACAAATGAGTACAAGTTCAGATTAAATGGTGACATTGGACGTACTTTCATTACTGACCCTGGAACATATAATCATTACTGCAAATTCATGCAGACACTGTAACATGGCGACTATTTACTTGCTTGGATAGAAATCGGGAGACACTGCAACACCGAATTTCGTACATATGACAGAGGCTCACCATTCTCGAATAACGCTATTTATGGTGCCGCCCATTTTTGTTAATGAATAAGCAATGCTCTGCTTCATCAGATTGCTGTGGTAGCTGAATACTTTCAAGATTTGATAGACTAACTGATTGAGGCAAAACACGTAAGGGCTGTCTGTCGAAGGAAAGAGATGCTTTCTACGAGATATTAGTGCGTATTTATGTTACAATTGGGAAGAAATCACGCAAATACCTGTGCATCTAGTCCCGTTTCCTGGATTTGAACTACGGACAAACTACCAACATTCAGCCGTCTTATTCGTTCGTGCGCTGATGTGACTCTGAAGGCTTTTAACCTAAAGGTATAGTTGGAATGGATTGGCGACTATACTTATTTGACTTAAGTCGTACTGAGCATGTCCTGTGATATGTTGTGTAAGTTCGGATATACCAGTTCTTATTTTTTTTTTTTTTTTGGAAGACTGCAGGAGGCAGGAGTTTGGTTTCAGAGAATTTAATCACATTTTAATTAATAAATACAGAAAGACGTTTTGAAGTGTGTATTTCCGATGAATTTAATATGCGTTATAAAATAATACCTTTGAAAACGGTGTTGCTTCAATTTCTTGTTTTTTTATATTTCGTGCATTTTTTGACATTAGCAAAAATATTTTAGAATTATTCAATTTATGAACTAAGTAATGTGTCTTTGAAAGTGTTTATGTATGATTTTTTACATGTCTTTTATTCTTTTTGCTACAAAAGTTCAGGTTAACCCCATTTTAATTATCATATTTTTATTTTAAACGCCAGTGTAGCTCAGTTTGGCTGGCAGGAATCTCGAATGCCTGATACTACCTCGAGTGGGTCTCACCAGTGACATCAAAGTTTGCTGAATACTGGTAGATCTTTCTGGGTTCGAACACAGCTGGACGGGCTGCCTGGATGGTTGGTTTTCCCAATACGTAACACGAATACGAATAGTTCTCCTTAGAAAGTCCTCAATGAAGTCTTCTTTCTCCTTAAGCAGATAGCTCTTACGCGTTTGTCATATCCAAAAGTCGTAATCTAACCTGCTTGAAAATCAGTGTGTATGACGCCAATAAACTGATGTAAAATGGCAAATTAAAATAATTTATTCAGAACTTACTTTATGATTAAACTGCTATACTTCTCATATCAGGCATTTTCTTAAGGTATAGAATTTATCTTGTTAAAAAGTGAACATACCAGATTTATATCAAAGTGCAAAACAGCTTAATTTACATAGCCTGTTGTCTAATTCCAACGTGTTAGAAGTATAACAGAATCAGTGAACTTTTCTTTATTTGAGAACAGATAATGACGTATTAGTATTTTTATTCTGAAAGTGACGTAAGGCTCAGGACGTAAATAATTATGTTGTTCCTTCTGTTCCAGTGACACATAATTATTTGCATATAATGACATATAATTATTTGCATTAATACTACAATAGATATATTCCTGGTGGCAACTCTAGTCAATCAGAAGAGACATCACCTTAACTTTTCCTAACAGATCTCTTTCAGCGTGATTTGTTTGAGTATTTTGCGACGATTCATCCAGTCTTGGGGATCGAGCCTAACCGTCACCACCGGCATAAAGGTGACGGCCTAATCCGAACCAGGGTAGAGCAAAAACAAGCTTCAGTGGTGCCATCTACTGGCGTTACAATTATGCTGCGTAAACCTACAAACGAATGTGTTTCACTACCATATATAGATGGCACCACAATATCGGCGGTCCAACACCTTCTAAGACGTTGCCGTTAATTATTTTTTGTATGAAAAATTTAACTTTTTTTAAACACCTTCCATTCAAGTATTAAAGGAAAATTTAGAAAGAAATACATAAACTAGCAGTGATTAAATTCAACCACAGCACCTTTATTTCTCAGTTTATGAAAAAACTGTAACTCCAATTATAGAAGAAGTTCTCAACTGAATGGGTTCCCCCTATTAATTTACATAGGGATAATTTCATGTAAATTAATAGATACAGGGGGATTTGCATTCAGCCTATTTATTTATCTGTTAAGTATTTAGTTACAGTTTATGAATATAAAATACAACTTTTATTCAAGTTTTGGCATTTATCAACATTTTCTATATAGTTTGTTGTTTAATTTATAAATCAAATTAAAAATAATCTAAATTTAAATGAACTTACATATGCATTTTTTGAGTTTTGGAAAGGGTGGATGATCTCCTACCAGTGGTGAAAGGGGTGCATGAGGATAAAAGTGTTGAGAACTACTAGAGTCAAGGTAATGAGATAAGTTTGAGGACTTCCCTGTATACCGAAATTTTAAAAGAATTACATAATGAAGCTTACATAACACTTCTTTACACAGTTATTAAAATTAAAATTGATACTAGCCATTCCCAGCACTTTTTGTGAAGAAATACTTTTAGAATTATTTGCTTTTATACTTACTCTTTTCTATTAATTTACTCATTATTCATTTTATTTCATTTTTTTAAACATATTTACCCGAATTTATTATTTATTTCTTCATTATCAATTTAGATTATTATTTTACTTCCCTCTTTGAATTTAATATTATTTACTATATCTGCTATTTATTTCTTTTGTTTCACTGATCCTGAACATCTTTCATACAACTCTTGCAATTTTAATTTTGGAAATTAAGCTCAATGTCTTATTTTATTGAAAAGTTATACCTTTTGATAGTTTATTTTGTATTTATGAATCAGATCATTGCTATAGAATAATAGTACAATTAATATGTTGTAAGATAGTTTTTCAAATTATATAAATATAAAAAAAATAATCTTCAGAAGTATAAAATCATAATCTTAATTATCAGTATCTATGATTTTTATTAAGATGCTATTTTCCTGACATACACAAAAGACTTTATTCATTTTTTTTATATTTTGTAACAGTAAGCATATATCAATTTTACAGTTCATGACTTTCATTAAAAAAAATACTTCAGATACATATTGTATTATATATATCAAAGATTAAGTTTTACATGTGGCATTTTATTACTTCTCACAGTTCTTTCTTAAAACTAAATTTTAGTTACTAAACTGCAAGATAAATATTGCTGAAATGAATTACAAAGAGACTAATTTTTTTCTAAAATATTTTATTTTATAGTGATTTTTTTATACAGATGTTCCGTCTTTGATCAACGGAATAAAGTGGTCATATAAATAATGGCACTTACAAATGTAAAAGTGATTTTCATGATACAAATATACAGAAAAATCAATATCAGTAACAAATTTAAATAAGGTTCTGCAACTGCTGGTAACTAAACTATATATAAAAAAAGACTTCATTACAATTCATGTTTTCTTTTTCAAGATTGGGAGGGGAGATGCACATATTTTGAAAATACTTAAGCATTTTCTCCAAGGCCCTCTGCAATCAGAAAAAAATCACAGTATGCAAGTTTCACCGTGGAATGCATGTTGGAATGAAAAAGTAAATCTTCAGATGTTTTCATGGAGAGCAAACACTAAATGCATCTTTCAATTGTTCTTACTTCTAAATTTTCGCTCTGGTGCTACAAGTTTATTCTTGAAAATGACTGAATAAGCAGAAGGCATTCAGTATTTGCATGCAGCCTGCTGCTTAAAAAATTAGTAACGATCTTTAATTTATAAAATGTTAAATGATATATTACTTTCTCATTGAGCATCGTTCTCAGAAAGCTATCAAAATGCTGCACTAGTTAGTCTGTAAACTATTGTTTCTATTTATATTACTAACTGATGCAAAGATTTGTTTGATATCTATCATATAAAAGAATACTATAAACATAAAAAAGTAAAATATATTATCTTTAAGACCCTCAGTTCCAGATGATTTTGATCTATTGTGGAAGTAGTGGTTGTCTTATGAAGGATTGTTCAAAACCAATGTTTATTTATATTTTCAGAAATATGGTCACTTTCAAAAGTGATCATAAAAAAAAGAGGTCACTAGATTTATTTTCATCATATTTTGTACACATTTAAAAACACAACCTTTATATTTGAATGTGCAAATTAAACTTTTATATTTCAAAATGTTAGGTTATCTTAATAAAAAATTGTTATGTATGTTACTTATTAATTTGACTTTACCAAATCTTACATGTACATATGTGCAAACACAACAATTTTTCTTATAAAATAGTTTTATATTTACATTTTCTTTATATTTAATACATATTTCAACTTCTGTTTTACACAAATACATATACTAAGATTTACATTTATAAAAAATCTTCCATTTCAACAGCATTTCTTTTTAAATGATTTTCCATTACATTAATATTTTCTTATCATTTCTTAAGAGATAATCATATTGATATGATCTCAATTTGTCTTAGGATTATATAATTTCAGTTTTATATTTGGCTGTTTTAATATACCAAGCATTAAAAATTCAGACAAAATCATTCCACAGGGGGAAAAATGATAAAAAAAGTCAACATAATTTTTTTAAAAACACATTTCAAATTCATAAAACTTACAATTTTAAAATCATATATACTAAACATTATTTTTGCATTACAATTATGAATTTATACTATTAAAAAAGGATTTGTATTATTTTCAGTTATTTCAGTTTATAAGTATGGAAATCTCAAAGGGAAATTATGCATGTAAAATATAATCAAATTTATAGGGTTCATCAGTCTCATAAAAATTTTCAAATCTAAAATTTTAGAACTTTTATAAAATATTTTGATTAAATGATAAGCTTTTGATAGAATGCTTAGACATTAATTCCTTAAACATAAAATATACATACAAAATGTCCACAAAAGTTTTTAGCTGGCCTTTATTTTCACAACTGTTGGTTATAGACGTTACTTATAATTACAAAAATGTTTTACATGAGCATAAAGATTCATGTTTTTATACTTTCGAATTAAAAAACAAATTGTATAAAATATGAAATCTAACTTTTTACTAATTCTATCAGGCTCTTCTATACAGGAAAATTTTACACTCGTTATAAAAAAAATAAAATACAAAATGTTTGACTTCCATATGACAAACATTGACCAATATATTTAATTTCAAAGTTTGTGATAGTTGATATAATTTTGAATTTGCATTAAGAGGCCATTTAATAAATAAATAAGAATAATTCGAGGTTGATTTTTTTCTCCTTTAAATGCTATTCAATGACATTATTTTGTGTGACTAGTGTCTTAATTTATTATTTTGTTATATTTGGTATGTCAAAAGAATTTTCACACAAGTAATTCATAAGATTTCAAAATCTAAAAATAAGTTGCTAAAATAAGTTTTATTACTTCAAAATCATAATCTGATAATCATAAAAAATCATTAAACTATAAATATATTTCACTTTTTAATTACTGTAAATTATATTACAAGTTGACCACGTGCTAATACTGAAGCCTGTCAGTATTTTCTAGACATAAATTCTATAAGATTCTATGAATAAGTTTCCATTCTGAAAACAATTTATATTGATTAATACTTTTTACAACAATCTCTGCATTAAAATGCTCACCACTTAATCTCGTAACATCAGAAATCTTTTTCTAAACTGATATTTTATTTTTGGTTATGTACAAATGCAAACATTTTGCTTTTATATTTGTATACAGCCCTTAAATATGACTTTACTACCAGCAAGCTGTGTTTTATTTTTTAAAATGAGTAGAGAATTTTCTGTATTATAATATCTAAATATAAATAAAGGAATGTACAAAAAAGTAGATTTCATATTCTTTAAATGTCACAATACCAAAACATGAATGTTTGCACATTAAAAACGTCCCCCCCCCAGTTGGAAGTATATATAGATACGACCAACAGTTGCGAAAATAAAGGCCAGGAAAGTATTTTTTGGACAAAATGATTATTTTTAAAAAACTATCATAAAATATAATTTAAAAAGTCCCAATCTCTTAACTGATAGCTTAATGCAGTAAATTATTCATTTACTTGTTTGAGCAGTCTAATATTTCATGAGATATTTAGCCAAGAATCTCATGACTTCAGTTATCTTCAAATCTGAATGATTTTAGTGTTTCAGATTCATTACACAGGTATCACAAATTACTGATTTTCAAATAGTTACTAAACTTTCTTATTCTCACAGTAATACAGGAAATTTCTTTAGAAATTCAACCATTGTTCCACAATAAAAGATTTGAATCAGTATCATATCATTTTACTGATTGATATATGCATGGAATCTCACTGCACCAAAGAGATACATCTCACATTTATCTGGCAGTTTCTTATGGATAATTGGTAAATGATAACCAATATAATGACGAAAAAATTATGAATTTTTTGTAGCCTCCACAACACCACCATCACCATTTGTTGAATATTTAGCAACTCCTGTTTTCCCTCGGGATAGTTACTAAATCTCAGGAATAATGTTCTTATATTTTAAGCTTTTGGCTTTCAGTAGTATCTCTGTAAGGCATGCAAACTTTAATCAAAAAGATTTTGATATTCCTTTTGTAAGCAAAAGCCATAATGATACAAAATATTAAGATTTTCGACGAGCTTTGGTGGGATCATAGTTCTCAAAGGACCATTTCTGCCTGGGTTCTTCAGAACACTCTTGCATCAGCACTTTCTGTTTGTCTGCACTCATTTCTAGACATTGACCACTACTTCCATGCTGAATTGTCTTTGTCTGAAATAAAAGACTTCATAATAAATACACTGATAAATAAATCCTGAGCTGAAAAAGCATACAGGTAAGTTTTAATAAGTTCTCTAATTCTGAACTATGAAACTGATTAAAGACTGTCCAGAATTATAGAAAGAATAATTTATTTCAAAATTTATATACTTTGTATTTAAAAAAAACTGCACAACTAAATATTTCTAAATGACTGCTCATAGATTCATGGCTCAACTCTGAGAAATAAATTTATTATGGTGGGCATTCAGACAGTGAAAACTTTGGTCAAAACACATCCTTCAGTCAAAAAATAATAATTATATTTCCCTTTTTAATACATATATATTTAACTTTATATACCTTGATAGGGCTCAGATAAAAATTTACTACAAAAATATGCAAATTTTGATGCAAAATCTTTCATTTCCATTCAATTAGGAAAAGATTACAATAGATTGCAGGATGGAAAAATTTAATCTGAAATCAACAGGAGACAAATTGTAATAATTAACCCTTTCATTTCCATTTAAAGCAAAAAATTCAATTTTATTGGCCAATGTTATCTTACAGCAGGAATTTTACACTGACTTGTGCTTTCATAATCCATATTATATGCAGCTTAGTTTTGTATTTGAGAGCAAATATTTTATTCAGCCTTTCTCATAAAGCATGCAGCATTATTGTGCATATCATTTGATTATTATGCTTCTACAAATATTTATGTAGTAAGAGGAAATGAAAAGAAACTGAATGATAAAAAGTACACATAATTTATTGATCATCAGTTTATTCGGTATCAGCTGAAGCTTTTTTACCTGAAATTTTTAATTGGCTTATACCATGGTGATTTTTAAATTTGGTTAACCAACCTGTCGAATATGTGCACTCAGTGTTTAAGTTCATTTCTTCATGAAATATTTGGGCTTGAGCCATTAGCATTGGTACCGTGAATGACACGCCCTTGCTGCGATGCTGTCTGACCCATTTAATCGTCACTTTAAGCATAACGAACCCTTTTTCTGTTATTCATTGCAAGTAAGGTGTCGGAATCCACAAAAAATTCAAAAAGTTCCTTTTTACTTTTTGCTTATGTCATATACAGTTGACTTTCCAATGTCATACTCCTCGCATAATTTTGAGACGGATATGCCTTTATTCATTTTTTGCAGCAATTCCACTTTTTGTTTAATGGACATTGAAACATGCTTTTGCTTTGTAGATCCTTTGGCAGCTCCAAAATTGGAAACTCTTTTTGACATAATCTAAAGTTCAAGCTTAATTTTTATAAAATTGCTCTAACAGTCTGCAAAAAATAATAAGCTGGATCCAATTAAAAGATTAAGGAACAGCGCAGTCTGCAACATTAACTGAAATGCCTTAGAGTCAGTAAAGCTAAACTGAAATGCCTTAGAGTCAGTAAAGCTAATTTTTAGCCTAGCTTATACCATCCATTATACATTAAACTTGTATGCGTAAATGCGTACGCAAGTGTAAATATGCCAAAAAAAGTTTATAGCTTTGAGGTCCGGATTATAGATCATTGTGAATAATGGATGTCCGGATTACGGACTTTGTACTGTATATGTATTTTTTTTTTTTTTTTAATGTGTCCATCAAACTTAATCTCAAAATTGGAACATCCATACACAGTCTATGCACTTTAAAGGTACAAGTATTTAATAACAGTTTTAAATAAAATAATTTATACAGTGTCCTGATATTTATTTAAAGTTGTGAATTATTTACAATATTATTTATTAATTCTAAGAACTTGTATTTAAAGTTGTGAATCATTTACAATATTATTTATTAATTCTAAGAACTTAGTAATACTAGTGCAAAAATTTACCTTTGGATTGTAAATCCATAGCTGATTCCCTTTAGATCCATGACAAGGATATAAGATTACATCTTTACCAGCATAGTCTAAGCAAGCTTCATCCCTTCGTATTTCTCCATCACGGCTTAACATCCAGAACTAGAAATTTTGATGCAACTTGTTAAATAAAGAGGGCAGAAAATATGTATCCAAAATATAAAATTAAGAGTGGAAGAATCATTTTACTAAAATATCTTGTTTGCCTCAAAAATATTTCTACATATGAAGAGCTCCTTCAATGTAGTTAAACAAACATATAACAATAACTCAGTCAGTTTCTTTACAAAAACAAAATATGAAATAAGAAAATATGTTAAAAACTACTAGTAGAGAATGACTTGTGCTGTAATAGGTTTCTTTCAATTACTCCTGGAATATAAATTTAACATGAATGTAATTAATTAGGAATAAAATAAAATATAAATAATGTACAGATAACAGAGTTGCGAAAAGACTTTAAACCTTTCCAATTAAAAAAAATGAAAATTTCTTTTTGAATTTCTGGTATGCATTTAATTTTATACTGATAAAGTTAAATGCATAACAAGAATTCATTTAGTCTTATACTGATAAAATTAAATAATTAATACCACATACTCAATTTAACATAAAATCTGACAACACAGTACATGCATTGATTGACCAAGCAAAACAATGAAATTTCAGTATTTAATAATTATAGACATTTTTTATGAATTACTTGCTAAAACATTTAAGAGAGAAAAACATAGTCCTTAATATTTTAATTAATTTGAAAGCAAACAAAACATAAATTCAAAATTTACAAAAGTCCATTTTCAATTATTAATATAACCTAGAATGACTCTGCTTTTAAGTGAAAATTCTATTAATTGAACCAGATTAATTTTACTATAATTAAATTACATTTGTTAGTGAATACAGATATCCTTCCTTACATTACAAAATTAGATGAAAATTACCTAAACTAAAACTGTTTGTTTTACAAATAATTATACCAAATAAGTTGCAATACTTTTCAGATAAAAAACAAATTTTTTAAGGATCTTGTTGATAATTGTTTATTATAAAGAGACAAGCGAAACAGATGTTTTGAGTGAATTCCTATTCAAGACAAATGATGTTTGGATCTTGAACATTGTAGTTTAGTTCAATAAACATAACCATTAGAATTCTTAAAAAATGCAAAAATATGTCAACACAGATTGATATCCCTTTTCAGTGAATTCTTTCATATATTGATCTTAAGTAGAATGTCATTACAGATGATTAAAATTTTCTTTGTACATTAATTTTAATAAAGGCAATTTTAACATTTTAGAATTTGTCATTAAAAGTAAAATGTCTAACTATGCAGTAAGGGAAGTCATTTGCGATCAGGAATTTTATCAATAAAGAATTCCAAACTTTGGTGAAGATTTCTTTGTTTAAAAGGTAAAAAGTACCTTATCCATATGGTACAGTTGTCATGCAAAGATTCTTAAATTCATCAATAAGCAAAGGTTTCACTGGATTGTCTTACTGAAACTAGAGGCCTCTTCTTTTCATATAATTCCTTGTACTGATTTATATCCTTAAAATTTAATATTTAATCTTTAGTACTGAATGAGCTAATGAGGAATAGTTCATTAATGTATCTAATACTAGTTAACACTAGGAGAAATTAGGAATTTTTTTAAAAATAATTCTTACATATCCAAACATTCATTTATGAAAATGTTACCACTAAAATTAAAGTTGATTGGTTTTGTGTCATGAGAAAACACAACCAGAAGTCAGATTAAATCTCATAAGGTAAACAGCAAACCAGATCTTTATCAAACTTTTGATAAAGGAAAAAAGATTTTTAGTTGAATGTCCTTTTCTGCGTCATGTAGTGGATTTTAGAAAATCGTATTTTTGAATTCAAATATATTTTATTTCTGCAGTAACTTTTTTTTAATTATTATCCAATTAAAAACATTCCAAAATATTAATTTCTGAAAACATTACATATCCCCCCCCCCCAAAAAAGCACCAATTTATGGTTTTTAGTAATGCAGGCAAAGATTCACTTCAGCACAATCTACTTTCAGATATGAGGCCAACCTAGCTTTATATGATAGGTAAATCAAGCTAGTTGCCATGTTGCTGGGGTCAAATTCTACACCAAATCAAGAGTTTTGTAATCATAGTATGTTCGTTGTGAAATGAAACAGTGCATCGATCAGCAAGGTCTCAAGAAACTGGTCATAGGTGAAGACAATTGAGAGCAAATCTGATAATATTTCCCAAGATGTTTTGTCCAGAATTAAAATGGAGCATGTCAGTAATTATGTATGTTCTGTCTAAATATTCCAGTCAAATAAAATCCAGTATAAATAATCAAATAACTATTAAAAAACCAGTACATCAAATATTATTTTATGCACTAGCAGTAGAAGAAAAACTAATCTTTGACTTGCCCTTGGATGATGAGTGTACTTTCAATCCAATTGAGTTTGGCTATCAAGTTTGCAATCTCAGTTCAACTCAAGCTGACAAACTGATATTTTGGACTACAGACAATATCCTCTTCAGTAGCTGATACTACAAGCAATACTTTATACATTCAATTGCACATAGCTCATAGTTTAAGTATTAGTGATTTCAGAAATGATATGAATTACTCCTTTGAAGCTCTACTTTTTACCCACAGAACTAAAAACATCAGTGCACATTTATATGATTTATGTATTAGATATCAGCTAGAACATGCTCTTTAGTGCACTGAGGCTGACAAGTGTCCCAGCTTGTATATTGTGCTGGTATACTGAAGAGAAAGTATTTTAGTGGTGGTGCACTAAAGGTGAAAATTAATCTCTGATTTATTCCTGGATCATGTATTTACTTTAAGTCTGATACTTAAAGCATCAGATTTGCAAGCAAAGGCAAGTTTGGCTAATAATCTTATAAAGTTAATGTTTCGGACCTCTCATATTCACCTCAATGAATAGCACCACTAACAGTATATCACTCACTTGACTGTAAATAGCTTATTGCTACACAGCCTTCAACTTATAGAATGCTGTAATAAAATAATTTGGTAAGTTTTGCCTCTTGTCTTCATTAAAATCCATAAGAATTTTTCTCTTCCTCTCCATTAAAATTTATAATATATACATTACTTAAAAAACATGATCAAATTTTATATACATTTCATATAAGAACTAAATTTGTGATTAAATAAATTGGTGGAGAATATTCTTAATTGCATTCTTAGTGCCCATGAAATAATTCCATATATATACAGCAACATCTAAGATGGAAAGGGTCTGTTTATATACAGTAAAGGCTTCTGTCCAATATGCTTGCTCTATACAAAGATAATTACTTCATAGCAGCTAAGGTCACAGCTAAGAATTTTTTTTCTTATAAAGAAATGAACAAGTGTACATTCTTATTTGTTAGAATTTTCTATAGAATATTTCAAACAAATATAAGCTTAGCAATTTTTTTCAATCATCGGTAATAATTTCTCGTAAGGCAACAGACAGTACCTGAATATCTCTGCCAGGGACACATTCCCACATTTGTACTCGGAAATATGCTCCAATTTTAAATGGTGACTTTTCTATGCACCATTCTTCATCCTGACTGGCCAAACTGAGTATCTACAAGGTTAGCCCAATTAAATAACAATTTTATAAACTGGTCAGATTTAGTTCCACTATTTAAGATGCTTTTAAGCAACAGAAGTACAAGAAAACTGCAAAGCAAATGGATGGAAGAATGCTTATTTATTTTGACATTTTTACAGCTTCAAGTGCATCACATCTTGCAACATCCAAAGGAGGTCAAGTTTGTCCTTAAACTATATGATAATGGAAATCTTTTTTGTTATTCCTACTACTAAGATAACTTTCATTCATTAAATGCTTTATTCAGAATCATTAGTAGCTGCTAACATGAAAATTTCATGAGATATAACTATCATTATTTTGGTACTGTTTATTTTCATTATTTCTCATTCTTTCACAGAAGTTTGCTCAGCCAAAGATTCACTGTTAGTCGTATTTTATTAATGATGTAACCCCTACAAAATCCCCCCATCAAGCATATATGAAGGAGTTTTATTTCAGTTAGGCCTTGAACAATATGCAGAATAAGAAAAATATGTAAAATCAGAACTAAAAGCTAAAAATTGGAACACAACTATTCTGAAATGGAGTGAAGTGTACTTGAATAGAAAAAAATATCAGTTATGTTTTGAACATTTTTTCTTTGTTAAAAAAAAAAAGAAGCCTTGCATCATCATCATAATAATAATAAAATGAAAAGATAGTTAAACGTAAAAGTAGGATCTAAAAACCGAAGTTCACATATTTTTTATCCGAACTAGTAAGTATATTTAATATTTAAATAGAAAAAAATTTCCCATTGAAATACAGTTAATATGATTAAGACTACATGACAGAGTTTTTACTGGATTTTCATTCTTAAAAGAAAGAAATTCCTTCTGATTTTAATATGCGGTCTTGCAAAAATAATCAGTCAATGGTACCATTTTGTTTCTGCTTGTTATTTTATGTTTAATGGAAGAATGAAAATAACTAAGGATAAAAATATACTAGATAAATGATAGTAAAAGATTACAGTTTAAAAATTACTTTATATTTGACATTCACTACAAGTGTAGAAGAAAAAGCTTTAGAAATTTGTTTCTAGTCAATATCATTCAATAAATTATTCTCAAGGGGAAAAAAAAATATCTTGCTATAATAATTTTTTCTCTTATGTAAATAATGATGTAACATTTACTCGTAAATAAATGCTTTTTTTTTTTTTTTTTTTTTAATTTAACTTTTCAAATTCTGTGCTTTAGTTTTAGTTTCCTGAGCTATCATGGATAATTATAAAAGTCGAGATTAAGATTTAAATTGTTTAACCTTAAATCAGAAACCCTGAATTTTTATAAGAACAGTAGCAGATCACAGAAGAACGGTTTATGCTTCAATTAAGATAATATTCAACAGTATTATGAGAGTAGTTTTGCATATTATGTCATTTTTTAGAAAATATTATTGAAAAATTTATAGCAACAGAAACATTTTTTCTAGTTAGTTCTAATTAGAATGCAAAACATGCATCTAGTTTATATGTACTATACTTAATTCTTAAGAAGCATAGAAACGTTTTTATGGCAGTAAATGCATGTTCAAAAAGTAGGGTCTCTTCTTTACTACATTAATGGGATTGAGAGATGAAGTACAATTATCAGGTATATTTTTAAATAACTTTAATCACACATTAAGTTCACTACGATGACATATTATAACAGAAATAACTTTCATTCAACGTTTTAATGCATTTTGAAGCATGCCAGAAGGACACCTGAAAACTAATCAATATAATTAATGTTACCAAATCTACAACCAAACATCATTACAAATGATTTAAATCCTTTTATTTGGAACTGGAAGAAACATTGGAATATTATATATGAAAACTGAAATAGTACCATTATTACTTATTTTAAGTAATGAATTCTTAATTTTAATTGTCTGATATGATTCGTAAACTTATTTTTCTTAAACATTTAAAAATTTAATCATGTTAAAAATTATTGATCTAACACTTTTGATATATTTAAATAACAAAACAAATTCATACATAAATTTGAAAAATTATTTAAAATTAAAGGAGCTCCTCATATCAAATAAAGTTTGAATATTCCTAATATATATTGAGACAATTTTTTTTATATTTAAATCTTAGTGTCCGAAGCATGAAATATGTTTTAAAATGTATTAGAAAGAACCCATCAGATGTGAATGATTTGACCATTACCGGATTCATAAAAAAAAACTCACCTGGTTGCCCCCCTGTTTGTGGCAAGGATACAACCCAATTGGCTTATGTAAATTATTCCTCCGAGCAGGGCTGTCAAGACACATGCTGCGACCATCGCCACCTAAGTTTCGAACCTGGTTGGAAAGCAAAATTCCATCGATCAATCACTGCAAAAGCTGTTTTCATCTTGTTCAAAAGTAAACACTATTAACATTTGTGTAATAGTTGAGAATAATATATATAGGAAATGAAAATGTACAGGAATTCAAAAATCCTCAACACAATTTACAAACTTGTTGTGAAAAGTATAAACAATAGAAACACAAAATTGACAGATATTGTAAAAATAATTCAAAAAAATTTTGTTATATCACTACCATATATCATTCTGTCAAATTCTTGCTGCTTTAAGCATATCTAACCAACAAGCAAATTCAATTTGAAAATGCATCAGTCAGAGCATTTATCTGGGAAAGTTCTTGATTTTGCTGCTTTCCTAATTTCCAATAAGAATGCTATGATTTTTTGAAATTATATGCACACAGAAATAAATTTTAAAGAAATTAATTTTTGATATTAAACTTTAATTTCAACCTTTTAATACCATTTTCTTGCTTTATGCATAGCAAAATCATCAATGATATGATTGAAGTTTATTTCGCAATCATTGTTTTATACATAATGTAAGATTTCTTAAATGCATTTTACATAATGTTAATAATTTATTCTTAGCAAAATGATTTTTACAACTAGTTTAAAACAATTAAGGAAACTTTACTATTTTTAACAAATATTTTTACTATTTTTTATTAATTAATATTTTTATATTTAAGGAAAATTTGCAGCTGTATTTGCAATACAAAAAACATCTCTAAAATGACAAAAACTGTTTTAAATAATTTTGGTTTTCCTGTGAAGGTAAAAACAATAAAGCAATCATACAGTTATGCATTTAATGATTTACTTTTAGGAATCTGAAGCAAAGAGAGTAAGCCTTTTTTTAAGTTTATATTTTTATTTCTTTTAACTGTAAGTGTAACTATTGTAAAGCAACTATTAATTAAATGATGAAAGCTATTACATTAACATAAATCAAAGTACCATCAAAGAATAAAATTTCATTTCACACAAAAACTGCTGCCCCTTTCTAAGAATGTGACAGAGATGCATAAAAATATGCAAGAGCCTGATTTATTTGTGCAGTTTCCTACAGTTTTATGACTTATAACAAATACACTTTGACATGACTCACAAGACAAAAATCCAAGGGTCAGGATTCTGCTGAATTTAATTATTTGATTATGACAAGTTCACTAGAACTGTGTGCTTCACAGGAGAGGTACTTTCATAAAGTACGTCTAAGGAATATTTGCTCACATTCACGTTACACATGAGAAAATCATAAAAATGCCAGGCAACCAGCCTGTTTGCCAGAATATGAATCCCCAGGTGAAACTACTATTGTTCAATTGTTTAATTCCCTTGGACTGAGTGAGCAACTCCTTGCTCAGATAATCTTGCACTATTTTACACCTGAAAACCTGAAAAGGAGGTATACCATACTGCTGCCAAATCACATTTAGATGCAAGCAAAACACCCTGAGGAACATTAAAAATTTTCATTATAGCCAAATAAACTTTTTTGTGACAGTAAGTTTGGTTTAAAAAAGAAAATCTAATCACAAGATTTTGGGGGAGGAGCGGGAACTATTTTTCAATTATTCTGACAATCACAGAAAAACTTCATCTTCCTATTATTTATACTTTATAATTCATTAATATTTCAAATGTATTTAGAACAGTTTGCATTTCTGAGTTAAAAATTGATAAGTTACTGCCTCATTAAAAATATTAATTAAATATCACTAAAGAACTCTTTTCTATGCAGAATGTTTCGCAGTTTATATTACATATTTTCCAGATTTATTTAAGTACATAATTTTTAGCACTATTACTGAGGCGATCAGTTTTGTCTTTTCAATATCATATAGTTTCAGTACAATGAAATTTTAAAATCAATCATTAAAAATGAGATTTATTTTTCTCTTCCCTGTTAAATTAACAGTCAGTGTAAATTATCCCATTACATTTCATAGATAAGTAGCAGACCTCTAACTGTAAATGTCAATTAGAAATTCTGCATCAGATAAACATTGAAAGAATCAAAACTGAGTATACAATCAACTAGTATAGAATCATATGACATCATACAGCAAATATTATTAGCATTTAGATGCATAATTAAAACTGACAAATTCCTGGAAAACAATTATGTATATCACACAAATGGAACATTGATAAAACAAATGTAATTAATCAGAAAATGTGCAGCGAAGACAGTCGCAGCAAGTCTGTGTCTTACTTCTTTAACTCAAAATTTCTATTTGAATTAAATAAATCATATTTAAAATAATTGAATACATGAAAGTTTTGGCTTTATACTGACTAAATTTAATATTTTATCTGTAACGTGTTTTCTCCCTCCTTCCAGCATGCCTTTGTGGTGGTAGCGCACTCGGCATGTATTTGAGAGATCCAGGTTCGAGTCCAGCAAAGGCATTGCTCATTTTTCACATCTCCTGCTTCAAAATAGCCTAATGACTCTATATATAATTTCATCTATTTAGTTCAAAACAATGTAAGCTGCTAATTTTATTCTGTTGCTTTTAAATGCTTTCTTTATTTTAAAAACAATCATTCTTTTTTGTTTTAGTATATTCCTAATACATGATCAAGTGAGTAGATCAAGGATCTACAAGTAGAACTGATGAAAAGCACATTCACTCTTATAAATTAAACTAAGTATATAATTAACTAAAAATGAAAAATTCAAACTTGTAACTAACAGTAACCTTAAGGTATAAAACTATCTATGCTAGGGTTAGAAACAAACCTAAAAATTTTCCTTCTGTTGTATTTATCTTCTCAACATCTCCCCCTCTATTAACTATTATAGCAAAGCATTTGAGATCTGCTGCCTTTAGCACTAGAAATCTATCTACTTTTTTAGCTAGATGGCCCTCAAATCAAGCATGTCTTTGAAGAGGTTTTCCAAGTTTTTTTTCTTTCATATTACACATAAAGAAACTTATAAAAAAGCCTTATGCAGTCAGCCTGTTTAGCCATCAGAATATGAAGCCAAGAAAAACCACCAGTGAAGTTTTATTCTTCATAGTTAAACTATTAAGCATCTTAAATTATGAGTATAACTGAATTAAAATAATTAAAAGTTATTCATAGAGCAATTTCAAGTGAAGATGAGAGAACTTTGAACATAAAAATGAAGTTACTGTTTTACTGTGTTTGGAAATAAACTATTAAAACATTAAGCATTAAAATGTTACTTTCATAATTAAATATAGAAGATATACCAATATGTGTTTTTTTAAACTGTTGTGTTAATTTTATTACATTTATTGGAAAATTATTCCATTGCTATAGCTGTTATAGCTATTTTCATTATATGCATTAAATATATTGCAAATATTATTCAAACCTATCATATTCTGAACAAATGTTTCATTAAAGAATGTATAAATGCAGATGTTGCAAGATGTATACTGGAGCAATTTTCATAAATTAAATAATACATATTCATGTTAACCTAGTAATAAATTAAAATACCATAACTTTAAGTGGTATTGTTCTGCCTCTTCCTTTAGCAGATTTAATAAAATCGGGAAAAAAGCATCAACCATCCATTAAAAAGCAGTTAATAATATAAATTAACGACACACAATCTTATATTCAGAATTATTTTAACAATAAAAAAATCAATAAAAAAGAAAAACACTTTTAAGATAATTATAAAGCAATAAAAATACACAGTGCTTCTATAAAGTGTCAGACTTATTTTTTAACACGTTCCAGAAAACTTGCCAAATAATGACTGATAGTAGTTATTACTATGACATCTCAATTTATATTGCTTAAAATACTGTCTGTGTATGGAAATAATTTTCTATGCAGTTAACGATGCACTTTAATCTAGTAACATTTGCTGTCATCGATTTCAAAGCTGAGAAAATGATTTCTTCAGAACGGCAGACATTAATCATGATTTTCTTAAAATGTGATTGGAGGTGAAATTTGATGCTTTGCTTATGATCCTGACACAAAATGGCCATCATTTGCTTAAACTGGACAATGTTCTCTGCAAACACAGAAATTTCAATTTCAGAAATCTTTAATCTGTAAGGACCATGCTGGTGATGGTTTTTGATTGGGAAAGGTTAATTCATGTGCAATTTGTCCCCGAGGGACAGAGAGTGAACTATGGGTTTCGGCTTCCCTGTTCCGAGTAACTAAATCTCACTACAGGTCGACTCTGCCTTCGGGCACGTCGTGGAGGTTCAACCTCCACTATTACCCTCCAGCAGAGCCGCGCACAGAGAGTGAACTAGATATTTTATAGACATAATAGACTTCTGAAGAAAATTCATTGCATTAGACCAGAAAAATTTCAATCAAATGATTGATTTTTCTTGCTGACAAAGTGTTATCATGCAATTCTGTTCATATAATAATATTTCTAGCAAAATAGTAAGAATATAATAATAAAACAAAGTACCACAATTCTTAACCAGTCACTCTTATTCAAAATTTCTCTTTTCTAAAGTGACAGTAAAGTTCTCTTCAGAGTGATTATTGTAATGTCAATGTAAAGATTTAGAAAAACTAGAGACTTAAACAATAATATAAACTCTATGAAGGAACCAAGCAGTTGTATGAATGAGCCAGGTATTGTACAGACTTATAAAAATTACATATTGAGAGTTAAGAAGTAAGATTGCTATCTTTAACTTTCGCTTTTGTACAGATTTATTACCAAAACTTTGTAAAAGAACTGTGTATAATAACTCATTAAAAACAAATTAATAAAAGCATTTTAAAAAAATTTAATGTATCAGATAATTTCAAATACTGTCTATATGTGCATAATAAAACACAATTAAACTTTCTGCATATGCGATGCATTCCACATAACAATAAATCCAGAAGGGAAAATGATAAGTAAAATTTATAAATTATTTAGCACCACCCTTAAGATTTTTTATTCTGAATTAAAAATATATAGTTTCTTATACAGGTTTTATGGCTCGAGTTTCTAAATCTGTGTCAAATCTGAATCAAATATCTCAATTGATCATATTTAAAATGAATGAAAATAGTACTTATTTCTTGCATAATATATTTTCATGACTATACTTGACATTCAGATCACAATAATTATTACTTTTCAGTCAAATAAGGTACAGATCAAACTTTCACCAACATATGTAAAGACCACTAGATCTTTCATGACAAAATACTATCAAATGGATAAACTTTCAACTCCTTTTATCAAATATTATACAGGGAAATAAATTAAATTAAATTAATTTTTTTTTAAAAAAGAGAAGTATTTTTTTGTTATTATTTGTTGTTATTTTCAGTTTTCAAATATTTATTTTCTAGCACATCTATTTTTTTCAACAATTAATAGTTTTCTTGAAACTGTGCAAAAATAATTTTCAGACTGGTGTTATATTAGGAAATAAGCATAATGACCCTACTTTTGGAAGATGGATCTATATGAGGTTTGATTCAAATCGCATTAAATTTTCCTATGCTAACTAACTGAATTTTGCATGATTTCTATGAATTCATTGTTTCATGGCTTCTTTTGTAATTAACACATAAGTAGTATAGACTTGCAATTAAAACACACATGCAGAACTGGACAGTACTTTATTTAAATTATACAACACGAAGGAAATATGCTTTTAAACTAACACAGTATATGTTTACACTTTTTTGAATGATTTCAGCATCTTTTATCTAATGTTTAAAATATAAAGAGTATTTTTTTTAAAAGTCCAATCTGATAGCTTAATTTTCTGGACTATAAGTTCAGTATTCTATCAGTTCAATACTGGATTATAAGTCATGATTTCCATGATAGACAAGTTTATCATTATGCTCTGTGTTTAGAAAGAGTTCTTTTCAAGAGACAAAAGGAACAATAGTCTATAGGTGAAACAACAGTAAACTTTAGCAATATATTGAATATATGCAATACCTGTATCAATCTTCACTTTTTTTAAAGGAATGAGTAATACTTTTTGATGCAAAACTTTATTTTGATGGTACATTAGCACAATCAGTAAAACTAGTATTCTTTCCTGCTCTTCTTGTTTTTAAGTTCCTTTTGTTAAAGAATCATGCAACAAATCATAAACCCCTTGCTGAAACTTTCTTTGCATTGATAAAACATAACTGATCTGTACATTTTATTTTCTTTGTTTTCCATTTATATGTAGACTTTTTTTTTTTTTTTTTGTTGTTCATTTAGGTAAACACATGCTTCATCAAGAGCTACAATGTATTTTCATATTTCTTTTGCTAAATAGTTTTCATAGAAGTTTCTGCAATCTGTTCTGCATTGAGCCATATGCCTCAGCAAAAGCTGGTGAACGTTATGATTTTAGCTTTTTTAAGTTGTAAATCTTGGTTTATTATTTTATTTATTGTTGTTATAAATGCATTTAAAGACTTTTCAATTGATTTCTTCATTGGGAGATTTTCGCTGTTACCAATGATTTAGTTTTAGAAACATTAAAAACAGTACGTACTTTTTTCACGTAAACGTTTAGAATCTGCTTTCCAGGTAGAATTAAAGATTGACAGTTTTTTCCTTTCAGATAATAATACTGCTGTTTTGCACTTGGAAATTTTAATACCATGTATTTGACAATGTTTTAGAATTATGGAATTGAAGTACTTCTCTTCGAAAAGTGCAAATGCATATCCTTTAATCCACAGCCTGTTTACATGTGACATTTTGAAAGAAGAATAAATTTAAAGCAGCAGAGATGATACTTCTCATTTTGAATAATAAGTTGTTGCCAAAAATTTTTATTCCAAAAACATTTGCTTTTTTGTAATTCTTTACCGAAATTTTTCTAAAAATGTGTAAACACTCTCTTGTGTACGGAATCCAGAACTGATCAAAGTACATCATCTTTCTGGATCTTTTAGCCATGTAGCTTATCTGAGACCTTTCTCTCTTCTTTGGAATGTATATGTTGCCTGATTGAAGAGAGGTGGGGCATGCCAGTTGGGCTTAAGTTCGCACGGCATACCCAAAATTTGACAGATCATGACAATATATACTTATGTATCTACTTATGACAATATCTACTTACCGAAACTCAGTACTTTATTTATTCATACAATAATCAATAAACTTATGCACATGTTTGCTGATGCATTTGCTAATGGGCTCTTTTTTAAAAAACATGAATAAGACCTGAAAAGGAAGCACGCCAATTTCAAATCCGTGTGAAATTTTAAACAAATCTGAAAGGATCGGAAAACCATAGGAAATTTCCAGGAACTTGAATTCAATAAATTTGTAACTTATTACAGCTATTTACTAAATTTAGAAAAAAATAAATATTTAAAGGAAGGGGGATAACTAAATAAAGTTTGGGAAAAAATAATTAAACAAGCCTATGTTGCAATTATTTTATTAATTATAATTAGCTCTTACTGCAGTAACAGCTTAATAAATGCAAGAAAAGAAATCCTTGACTTACCATTGGATCATAAGTGCGTTTTTAGTTGATGGTTTAAGGCACTGGATTAAAATGCAGCTGTTCCCAAGTTCAAAACTAGCTGAGGAAGTGGTGTTTCTGACTACCAATAGATGGCAGCACCAGCAATATTTCATTACCTCAATTGTTAATCATTCACTCAGCCATACACTCCAGTCTGTAATGGCAAACAGCTTGCTGCTACAAGTTGATGACAGTGATTGTGACATAAACTATGCAACTATTTATGTATGCACCTCAACATACTGGGGTACATTCATACATACTACAGCCAGGACCGGATTTAGATTTGACAAGGCCCTAAGCTATTTGAGATATGGGGCCCTTTATAAGTCCAGGTATTATATGCCAGTGGCAAATATGATTTTTGAATACTTAAAGGTTTTTTTTTGGGGGGGGGAGAAGAAAGCAGAGGCCCTAAGCTATAGCTTGTGTAGCTTATACATAAATCTTGTACTGACTACAGTCCTGCAGGCATATGTTATAGTTCATAATGTTGCATGCTAGGATAAGAATACTATAATGATGACTCATTAAATGCAAGAAATTAAGACTCCTGACTTGCCCTTAGATCATGAGTGCATTTTTGATCTAATGGTGCCATTAACAATGCTTCACTCACTCAATCACAAAGAGTTTGCCAAACAATAAACTTGAAAACTAAGATAAAATATATTTAGCTGCTATTTTCAATATTTTCTCAAAAAATGAAAAATTATATGGTACTGTGACAAAAGTCAATTTTATTCCAAATTACTTTGTATGTAGGGGGAGGAACTTTCAGTTAGCAAGCAAGAAAAATACGAAAGAAATTCAAAAGAATTCATGAACGAAATATACCTCTCCTGAAGCCACTGCTTCTCCAGGAATGAAAAGCTCAGGATATACATTGTCAAGGTACCACTTGAAAGTTTTGCATTTCAGATTCTTTCGAAGTTCCTTTCGCTCAGTTATGTCTCCATAATCACCCTGTAAAATGGTAACAAAAAATTACATTTACTTTAATTTGGATTACTTTAAAATAGTTATATTTTAAAATTATTACAGTAATATATTACAGTAAAACCCTGACTATCCAGCATTCAACTAACTGAGAGACTAAGTACCACAATATATAAGAATTTTAGATAAAAATTTGCCCCCACCACCAAAAAACATTTAGTAAATGAGAGACCTATTATGCCATTATAGTGCTTGTAATATTATTAACACATATACATTGTTGCCAAACCACAATCATAAGAAGTTCGTTTGTGTTTAATGTAAATTTGATGAATTTCCAATAAGCCAGTTTAATTTTTATAAAGAAGGACATAAGTTTATATTTTTATAAAGAAGGATATAAGTTGTTTCTTCCTCACATTTTGAAAAAAATGGTTAATTTATGGAATTCCATGAAATGGGGTATTTTCAAAGTTAAAGGATCTGAAACATCAAAAAAAGTCACGATATGCAATTTGAAAAGAGATAAATAATTGCAATGTAATGTGAAAAATTACGATAAGCAATTTAAGTTCTTTATATGCTATATCCTCAGTTTGTATCAGCTTAATTTCTAACTACATAAAGAATGAGCTGTTCATTTACAATTTTACAAAACAACTGGCGACATCTTTGACAACTTACATATTCAGCAAGACTTCATAATAATAGAAATGCATCTTTTTTCCCCTCCCCCCCAAAATATTACATGATTTTAAATGCAGGCTTTTATTATTAAAGTTTCTAATAAATAAGATGATTGTTTTTGTAATTTTAGAGTGGAAATTGTTCCCACTGATTCTAATGTAATTTCCTTTTTTTATACGCTCAACTATTCAAAATTTTCACATATCCACAATTCAGCATTTCTTGAGTTTTCTAGATAGTTGAGTGTCATTGCAACCCAGCATAAATAGCAAAGTATCTTTTCACAATGTGTTGCTAGCTAAACTTAGTCAATATTAATCTATATTATATAAATATTTGTGATTATTTCTATAATCAAAATTCAGAACAGTTTTTCTAATTATTCAAACATTTAATACATATTAAGTTCGCAGGCACATTTTTTATGGTATTCACAGAAATACAAAATACTGCACACAGAAGTCCAGTACGCTACATTTCAAAATGAAAACTTAGAATTAAGAGTGCGTGACATGGTACAGCTTATTATCATTTGTTTTAGGGAAAGCTTAAGTTTTTAGGGAAGAAAACGTTTGAGATAAATGCCTTAAGGTGATGAAATCTGGTTTGATTTCCAATGGGTGTTGTTTGGCAATAGCATTCAAAATGGAATTAAACAGATTGTTATTTTCGGAAACTTGCCTCTTTATCCACGCAAATTTTGATAAATAAGAAAACAAATGCTAATAAGCTCTACCATGTTAATGATTATTCCTAGATTTGGCTGATTACCAGACCTGTTCCAATGTTTGTGCATTGGCCAATCTCAAGATCAAAGTAAATGCTGGAATAATAATAATAAAATTTAAAAAAAAAACCCTCTCTGCCTTCTCTTAGCTTCCCAAATAAAGAGAATGGCAGAATATTTAAAAGAAAAGCGAATAAAAATAAAAATCTCATCTTTCTAAAAAGTCCTGAATAGCATCTAGGACTAAAAATGCACATGATCTGCTGGTATTGAGATAATGGTCACAATCAATTGCTTTGGGATTTGGAAAAAGGACTTAAGAGTGTGATTATAGAACACCAGTTTACTAGATCCTGTGCAACTTACCCATAGGCCCAAAATTGCATTTCATTATATTCTGCAACATTAGTGACATTCTGAAACGCAGAATTTTTTTAACTTTTATTGTACAATTACACATATCTAAAATTAAATCAATCATTTTTAATCATCCTGGGCTATAAAAAAATTCTTATAAATAATCTTCAGAGTAGCTAATTATCTCAGTACTTATTCTTACACAAAAAATTAAGGTACACATAATAATGAAACTTTTTACCAAACTACCAAATCATATGGTTATATTTCATTTGACAAATTTTTAGTTTGGAAAATCGACTCAGGAAATCTCATTTAGTTGGAAATGCATGGCAACATCAGAAACGTTAAAAAATAAATAAATAAATAAATAAAATAAAATAAAGTGTCTTATAAAACCAAAGAAAAATTGGAGGGAGAACAGGAAAACATAGAAATTTTTAATTACTTGAAAAGCAGAAAAGTTAAAATGCAATTAAGATATCTGGTTTTTATTTCATGAATTTCACCAACTATTTTATAAACATATATATTTATTTTATGAATAAGAATTAAATCATGAAAATGTTTTAATTAAATTTCAATATTTAGCCCTGGAATTAAGAATGAAAAAAGGAGAAACCAAGATCTCAAACTACAGTAGTTGTGTATAATAAAGTATTTACCAAATCAGTTCCAATTCTCTGATAGTAATATTTGGCATATTCATCTAACCAGACTTCTGCTAGCCGGATTGAATTCCTTTTCAGAACATTCACTCCAGTTCTCCACTTATAAGGACTTCGTTTCCTGAAGATATGGCCAACATGGGAACAAGGCACTATTTCCAAAGTACCACCACACATCCAAGTCTGAAATATGGAGTATTACTACATTTCAGAACTTAATAATAAAATCAAAAATACACTTGCTTTTTCAAGAAAAAACTCTCGCTGTTCTAATTTTTAGGAAATTAAAGTATTTTTTATAAATTGCTTATAAATTTTCAAATTCAGTTATCTCATTTTGGCAATCATTTGTGAAAGTGACCAGTACTTCTGAGTAAAAAACTAAACATCAGAGTTGAACATCACCTTTCTATAAATGAGAAAGAAGCCTCAAATTATTTAGAATGGTGTGTTGCCATTTTAGAGAGAGAGTTCATTGTATTATATGTTTTTATTGCAAAAATATAATGCAATAATGTTATATACAGATTCCAAAATTTCTAATGGATGGTTTATTTTCTAATGGATCATTCAAACTTTTAAAAGAACAGCCATTACTTTCAAATTAATGTTCTTGTATCTTGTATTTTTAGTTTGCAGTTAAGAGCATTAAAAGACAATAATTTACATAAAATACCAGTGTTATTCATATGCATAAATAGGGAGGCTTTTATTTAATTGAATGTAAAATTGCTATAGATAATTTAAAACTTGCCCATATAAAATAATCAATTTTGATTATAAAATGTAAAATGAAGCAGAATTAATGTTTCCATTATTAAGAAAAAACAATAAATATCGTTTTCCTCAACTGCAAGGAATTTTCTTAGCATGAAAGAAAATGTTAAAAGCAAGAGTAATGTAAGGAATGTAAAACTAAATTTATTGTTTTTAATCATAAGCATAAATCAGCACTTTGATTGTATCTTTCTCATTATATATTTTATAAATTGATATGAGTACACTGGTGTTCAGATTTAGAGAGTTTTACAAAACTGTAATCAATTCATAGTATATGAAGGATAATGTAAATGAGTTCATTAACATGCACATATAAAAAAAGTGCTGAATCATGAATTAAATATGCAAGCTGGGTATGTGAAATTTACAAAAACTATTTACTTCTTACACAAATTGAGTTATTGTTCAAATATGTATGGATTGGTAAGAGACAAATGCACTCATAATGGTAAAAGTACGGTTAACTAAGTGAAAGCAGGTGAGTATTAAATGAAGTACTACTACAGCACTAAAATGACTCAAAATGTTCTGTTAAGATCATAGCAAAAATAAATAAAATTTAGTAGAGTTAAAGTTAGCATGAAACTTCAGTTTCAAAATAAATGAATATTGTATAATTTTAATGACAGAATATGTCAAATGATGGTGGTTAGACATTTGTTTCTTGAGTTAAAGAGTTAAAAGGTAGAGTCAGAGAAGAAAAATTCCATTGTTTCACAAAAGAGATTTTTGTTTTTTATTTTGTTTCGTTTTAAACACACAGTTTCCCAAATTTACACATTGTTTCACAAAAGAGGTTTCTAGGCTCAAATGACCTGTGTTAATTAAAGCTTTGAAGCTTTAATTAACCATTTTGCAAAAGGATTATAAATGAATTTATGGAAGATTTTAAAAAAGAAAAAAGGTCTCATGAGAAAAACTACAAAAACATTGTCAACTTCAGACAGGTCTGAAATTAACAGTAACAGCTTCAAACACATGACCACTAGTGGGCTAGATTACTTACAGATTAAAACACAACTGATAATATAATTATTTACTAAATCATGCAGAGTAATACAAAAATATTCTTCATTTTAAAAGTAAACATTTTTTTCTGTACTCTCTTTTCAATAAAACCAATATAAACTTTGCCTCACATATCTTTCCAATGAATTTTGCCACACATATTCAGAAAATGTAAAAATAATAAACGTCTACTATACATACCTTGAATGAAAGTTCTAGGTTTTCTCCACCCCAGATATCAAAGCCACTGTCATAAGTCCCCAGCTTTTTAAAGAACTTTTTATCAATAGCAAACAGACCACCAGCCATTGTTGGAGACCTAGAATAATATCTATATCAAAAATCTATCCATATGAAGTCCTTTTCTTTAAATAATTATTTTAAAAGTAAAAATTCAAAATAAATATTTTAATGATGCCGAGTGATTTAGGTTGGGTTAATTAATTAAGACAAAGCACTTATTATTTGCCTAAAAGGTGGAATTTTCTAAGGAAAACTGGTGCATACTCATTGCAATGATAATAATATAAATTTAATAAATGCAAAAAGTTTAAACATCAATATTTCTGATGAACTTCTTTTTATTCCTTGAGGATAGATCTGATATAGTATTATAGTATTAGCAGTGTGATACATTTATCTTTTATGAGAGAAAAAGGAATAAATAAGTATCCCCCCAATGAATGGCTAAATTGAGGTAGAGGTGGTACCATCTACTGTTGACTGTTGCAGGTGCAAATGAGTGGATGTGTTGGCATTTTCTATCACTAGCCATTGGAGGTACATGCTTCTTTCACCCACGGTCGAAGTGTCCCCCCCCCAGCGCTCATACTTTCAGCGAGTAAACTAAAAGCATTCTCAATTTTATGTCAGCTTCTTCCCAGCCTTCATTGATATAAGATGATAATTCATTGTTCTCTTTCAAGATAAGGAATTAAAGCATAAGGAATAAAATTAAATGGCTTTGCTATGATAACTTTGCTTTGAACCTACGATGACTTTGTTATTTATCAATATAACTTAAGGTTTCGAGTTCGCCGTTATGAATACTAATCACTGCAAGCAAATGCGCATAGATACTGAAATATTTAAGTGATGTGCTAACCATATCACACCCATCAGAGTCTAGTACGAAGAGGCATTCTTTGGAGAATACAAATCTCTGTAAAATTATATCGATCAACTTTAGGAATTAATCCAACAATGAAGAGATACACATAATCTTCTTCCTTCTACCCATCAGCTCTTACTCTTACTCTTCCTTCTTCTTTTCATTTTTCTTTTTCTCTCTCTCTCTCTCTTTTTAGTCCAAAGAGGCTTTGTCCCTGAAGGACTACTGTTTTCATTTTGCTATTTTGCGTTGGAGCCAAAAACGGCATTTCACTTTTCAAATCGTTGCCACCAAATACTATCGACCTGTATTATACTTGAAGAAATTAAATAATGAAGAATCTGCATAAATGTATCTATGTTTCTCGCATTGTGATAAAACAATGGTACCTAGAGCCATCCAATTTTGAATGCCGTAATCCTACTGCGAATATGGGCATCTGAAAGCCTAAATTTGAAATTTGGTTTATTATCGATTTCATATTTTGTAAAAATTTAACGAATTTTTGAGTAACAAATCCAACGATTTAAAAGCGAGCAATGGCAACACTCTACGAGGGGAAGGGGGAAACCTTTTTATCTTCAGCGAGCGGAACTGTGTATCAGAAATTCTAAAGATATGCTCATTTTAAAATTATTTTACGACATTGTTGTTGAACTGAATTTCATGGTTTAAGTGCAAAAAACATGATATTTAATACATAAAAGTAACACATAAACGTAAAAAAAAAAAAAAAAAAAAAAAAAAAAAAAAAAAACCTTTGGACGTAATTTAAAATCTGAAACCTTTCAAATTTATTTATTTATTTATTTTGTTTATTTTTTTAAAAATTTTTATAATGCGATGCGATATAAAATTTCTACCAATACCCACAACTTAAGGAAGCCGCCATGGAAGATAGCGCTGAGCAGCCAAGTAAGAAATAAAACAAAATTTTAGATCGCCACTTGAAACGGCAAAAGTAGTTAATTCTGATGCCATGCAAACTTAAATTCATATCAGCTGAATTCTGAGTAAATTTCTGCTAATGATCTCAATCATATTCCTAAATGGAAAAGAACTGTTTAGATTTCATGCATAAATCCAAAAAGAGTACGGACTCGATCCATATTAAAAACTTCGCAAATACCAACTTCAAAGCTAAATTAGTTAGAATAATTGCTAAATATCCTTTCAGATTCCGAAGATGACAAGAATAAAATCATCAAAATTCTATATAAAGATAAAACGCAGAATTTTTCTTTCAACATTTTTAAGCAAGATATCCATTCCCAAGGCGGAATTAAAGCTTTATCCCATAGCAGCAAATATAATTTAATCAAAGAGCTTTGTTAATTAAAGTAAACTTTCAAAATAACAAAAATTTTACATCTGAAACATATCAAAACGCACAAACTAAACTTATTTCAGGTTTCAGTGTCGCCAGACTCCCCAATTTCCCAAGGGATGGATATTTTGGGGGTATTTGTTTGGTACAAGTGCTAAAGAACCGTGAAGTTGCTAAGATATTTGGTCTAAAAAAATTATGTTATTTCTCTCTGAAGATCGAAAAATGCAGCGCCCAAGCAAACCAAATAATGCATACCACAATTATCAACAATTAAAAATGCAGAACTCAGAAACTGCAGAAGACGTGTGATCCCACTTAAGGTTTTTCGCCATTTTGAACCAGGATATGTGAAACGTTCCACAACGTATAACACATCTCTTTTTCTGGAAAAACATTAATCATGATTCTCTTGCATCAATTGTGGGACAAGGACCCATCCTGCGAGTTAGAAAGGCTACCCTGGATACCATAGGAAAAATACCATTAATGTTCAACCTAAAACTGAGTAAGTTAAAAAAAAATGAAAAGCCAATGGAAGCCTGAGCTGATAAAGAAAAAAAAAATCTGTATCCGAAGACAACACCTAGAGAAGCAAATCAAAAAACTGATATTTTGCATTAGCAATCACAATGGTTTGGTTTATTCAATTATAGCAAAACACACGAGGATTATCACTCGAGGACTCGACGGAGTGACACCTTCAGTGAAACCGGCTTGTGTATGCGTTACACATACGGAAAACCATTAAAACGCCCATCCAGCAGCACATTCGCTGATATTCGGTTCTCGAACCGACCTATCAAGTGTTCAGCGACTTTACCGCTTAGCCGCTGGGGTGCTCAGCAATTATAATGATAATCTTATTGAAGATAATATGGAAAACTACAATATTATCAAATTTTTACTTAATATTCTTAAAAACATTGAAAAGATCACAAAAATATTTGGTAATGTCCCTCTTTTCTATATGACAAAAACAATGCAAAATCATGTCTGTAACTTAAAAAATACCTCAGAAACCAGAATAGATAATTATGCTTTTTAACCATACGAGAAATTACTGGCACTGTGTGCCAAATATGTTCATACCATGGGCAACTTGTAACTTGTTAAGAAGTCTAAAAATTACCTTTGTTGGCACCGAAGAGTTACCTAGTTGTTGAAAACTTCTTTTATATCGTTGAAAAAAATTACAATGTAACCTGCTTTCTTACTGGCTTATCACACTATATTTCTGTATATATCACACGATGCAGTTAGTTTACGATTGGTAGCTATTTTACTACTCCCTGAAGCATCATCAGGAAAACAAACACCATACACGACTTTGGAGACTTTTTTTTTTTTCCATCGGACAGTATACTCTTCAAGAGTCGTTTCTGTTTTATGCTAAAATGCTGTTTCTTGAAAGAAAAGTTGTAGTTACACTATGATAAGTTTTGTTTCATTCTATTGCCAGAGTGGAGATGGTGAAAGTAATAGTTTAATACAGTGGTGGCCAATCTTTGGCCTATCGCGAGCACATTTACAAAACATCAACATTTTCGTTAAACATATTTCCAATCTTATGTGATACATCTGAAATATTAATTTTGGCAAATGGGTTTGAGATTAATAATAATATTGGTTGAACTGTATGAAAATCAGAGAAGCGGAGTTTAAAATTATTTTTTAGTGCATTTAGGTTTTCCGAGTATTTCTCTGTTTCCATTACCTTGGTTATTAATATGGCTTGATAAATTCTGAAAATGGGTGAAATCTTTTTCTTTTCATCTGATTTATCCACAAATTTAACTTTTTCTTAAAAGCAGTTACAGTCCCAGTCAATTGAAAAAGAGTGTTTTTCTTTTTTTCTTTTCCCTGGAGATCTTCGTTCAATTTAGCTGTTATATCCGTGAGAAAATATATATTGAATAACCAATTATTATCGTCCAATTCTTTATAACCTTCGTTTCCGGATTCCCAAAACTGCTTTATTGGCGAAAGAAGTTCTACAAATCGTTCAAGTACTTTTCTTCTGCTGAGCCATTTAATATCGGAATGAAGCAGTAAGATTCCACATTCGCTATCAAGTTCATCAGTCAGCAATCAATTATTTTATAACGTCTTGCAAGATATCTCTTATGACTATAAAATGCTTACCACATTTTAACAATTAAGAAATATAAAAGAATGGTTATTTTTAAAATATTTTTTGTTCATAGTACCTAATTAGCTGGCGAGCACAAGGTTGGGCACCGCTGGTTTACTCCAAGAAGATTTGCAAAGAGTTGGAAATTTATGTACATTCTCAAAGAAATGGTTTATGCTAACCAAAAATTTAAATAGAATTTCAAATTGCAAGCAGCAGCGGGAAGTATCATAAGAATTCAAATATAAGTGTGGCACTATGACACAGGAGGATATGAAATATTGATATGCCTTTGAGCTTCTGTTGTTCCAAGGTATTTCCATTCGTTCAATTAATTTAAATTTTAAACTATTATAGGAACATTTTATTTTTACAATATTCTTCAAAGTGGATTTATAAAATTTAGTTACTGGAAGTACATATCTAGGATTCATATTTAAGAGATAAAAGCTATAGTTGTAGGTCATATATTGTTTTGTTTGTAAATATATCAGATAGTTAAAGCCAGATAAAAATAGCTTACGCAACAGGCATCCAGGTGTGCTTCCTTTTCTTATTCTCCCTTTCAGGCACAGGATGCCAATTAAATTGCAAGTTCCAGTCGAAACCTCCCACATTCAGGCTCCTCGAATCTCTGTAGTGATACTGGAATGTATCGTCACTGATGACATCAATGACAGGGCAAACCACATTCGTTGTATTTTGATAGATGCGATACAGCAGTGGTTCCAACCAACCTACAGGAATGGCAGTATATTAAACAAAGAATAGCAAGCGTAGAGGATAAAATCTTTTTGTCACAAAATATAAGCAGGTTTTGGGGATAACCTTTAGAGAAATGAATCAGATTCAAAATATTTTAATAGAATGTAATTAGAAAAAATCATTTCAGATTGAGATTAATTAATTAACTACGGTAAAATACTTTTGTGTTTATTAATTACGGAAAAGTACTTTATACATAGGGAAATTAGTAAAATGTAAGTCAAGCTATTCAGCTGTCTGATAGCAAATGAGATAAACTATCCGTATTCTAATAGTCTCCCAAAAGCCGGCACAGTAGTTTTAGTTACAAGATTAGAGGTAGTTATCTACTCTTGAAATCTAATGCAATACTCATACCTTTCATCTGTTCACAAAATTCAGAACGGAAAATATAGTCACAAGACTCCACAAATCGCTTCCTTTTCACAGAAAACCTATAAGGTATTTCTCCTGTCCCGACGAAGGCATTGCTCATCTCTTCGATTAAAAAAATCTCTTCTGCTTTAAAGAAAAATATCATCTCAACGGTGGCGGCCGAACTAAAAAAGGATGGTGGATGACGATTCTCCACCACCAGGATTTGTCGATTGGGTCCCCTGATCCCCAGTTCCCTTTAGAATGGGGAGTATATAAGATATTTCTTTCACCTTCTTAGCATGCCTTCGTGGTGTAATGCTCAGCACACTCGGCGTGTATTCGAGAGGTCTGTGGTTCGAGTCCCGGCATTGCTCATTTCTTCGATTTCCTGTTATAAAAAAAAACCTAATGTGTCTACAAACCCACTATGTAAAGTGGTTTTAAAACACCTAAAGATGACACACATTTATAAATATAGAACAAATGAGCAAAATGAAATGCAGTTAAAATTAATAAAAAAATTAAATTTAAAAAAAATTCCGAAAGCTTTCAGATTTTATATTATGTCGGCATTTTTTCTCACTTATATACACATGCACGTTTCGAGAGCATTTGAGCTAATGCCCAGTTGGACATTTAAAAGCAGCATATCTTTAGAATTTCGGACAGATAGTCTCGTGCGCTGAAGATAAAAATGTTTTATTTCGTACAGTTTTGCATTGCTCAATTTGAAATTGTTAAGTTTTATTAATCAAAAAATTCACTAAAGTTTTACAAAATATGAAATAGATGACAAAACAAACTCGAAATTCAAAATTCGGGCTTCCAAGTGCCCATATTCAGGTGGAGGACTACGTTATTCATAATTTGATTGCTCTAGGTATTCAAAATTTGATGATTCTAGGTACCGTCGTTTTTTCACAATGCGAGAAATATATATGTACATTCATGCAGTTCTTCACATCATTACAGAAGATTCCTGCAGAACATTATTTAATTTTTTTAAATGTAATACACCGTGATAATATTTGGTGGCAATAATTTGAAAAGTGATTCAACGCTTTTAGTGATTTAACGCAAAATGAAGTTTCGAGACTAATAGCCTTCTGGGACGTCCTTTTGGGTTAAAAGTTTAAAACTAAATTTTATGTCCTAGAATCAAAGAGCTATGATATTGTGAAAACATTAATTTGCAAAGGGAAAAAAAAAGATTTTGAAGGCTGGCCATGTGAAATACGTCAACTGTCCGATTTGACCAACCATATCGTAAACGTAAGATTCTTTACTCAATATAATTATAATAATTATAATTAATGATTTAATTATCTATATCTTGTAAAAAATCTTAATTAAAAATGACTTAGTGTCAAAATTTATTGTAAGTTTCTAGAAAACAAGGTACAAAATGTTTTCGTATGAAATTTAATCATCTTTAAAATATTCGCTTTTAAAGCAATTTCCAACACAGTTTTTCTTTTGACTATGGCAATTTTCAAAATTGTTACACGATTCAGAAATATGTATAGCAAAAACATGCGATTTATAAACTTCAACTACTACTTTCGGGCTTTAATCAAGAAAAAGTCATTGGGCGTTAAATCACGCGAATAAGGATAATGAACCATCAAATTAATTTTTCATACTCGAATTAACTAAAAGTTTGAAATGCAGAGGTACGTTGTTATAAGGCACAATAACACGACATTGTAACAATCTCCTTCACTGAATTCAGCACCTACTTCTGGAAAGCAAACGGTCATTTAACCATCAGCATTTATTGGTCTTCGAAAAGCCTCCAAAAATAAGGGAAAATTTGCAAGAAACAAACTGTGCAACTACCTTTTTTAAGCACTTCACACAAGAACTGTTTTTGAAGGATTTGAATCCTTCTGAAACTCCTAAACAATAAATAGACTGTCATTTTGTTTCGGGTTCACATGTTGTAATATCAATAACAGTTTCTGAGACACGAGAGTCGAATCTTCGAGATTTTTCTGCATCATTTGACACGAGCAACCTTTTGTGCTTGAGTTACATTATGTGGAACCCAATGAGAACACATCTTTTTTGTTTCTAAATGATCATGCAAAACTGAATGCACTGAATTCACCGATACTGAATTGTTTCCAGAAACCCCAGTTTCATCAGATGTTACATGGTGATCTAATTTTGTTATTTGTTGCACATCAAGAGTGTGTTCAGGTGCTACAGCAGTTCTTCTTCATAAAATTCATCATTGAGATTCTTACACGCAAGATGGAACATTTTAAAAAACTGTAAATAATTGCTCTGAATTGTGCTTATCATTAATAGTCGAATTCATTCGACCATCACACAGTTACGACCAACCATGTCGAAAATCATAATAAATTGCAGCTCGGAAATTCTTCGGATTTAAAACGATATTTTGTCATTATTTTATTACCTTTAAAACGGCAAAAGAATTTTACAGCATTTCTCGCTCTTTAACAGGATAAAATTTAAAAAAAAAATCCATATACTCCGAGAGCTGCTATTTCTGATACTGTTGATTCTAAAAACTTAAGCAATGGCTTATCCATTTCTATGCCCTCGAATTTTGGCAAGCTAAAATCTTGAGTTATTTTTCGATCACCCTAATATAGAAAGTTTTTAAAAAAAATTTTTTTTAATTTATTTATTTATTTATTTATTTATTTATATATTTTTTTTGTGATAATAAAGAGCAACGTTAAAAAAAATCCTAAATTATCTTCATATTTATTTTCACTTTCATTTTATGGACGCAAGAAATGATAGGAAAGAATGCCCAGTTAATGGCACAACTACAACTGAAATTGCATAGAAAAAGAATGATTTTATTTCCAAATTAATATTCTCAAAACTCTTTCCAATTGATAAAATTATGTAGATTTCAAACAAAAGTAGAATGGGAAAGTTGGCAAATTAATAATTTATCTAATTCGAAAGGTGAATTCTTTTGTAATTATCCGAAAATCGAAATAGACAGCTCCAAAATTCTTTTTCTTTTTCATTCGAAAGCGGAAAATTGGACTAAAGGAAGAAAAAGAAAAACTAAAACGAGCTTTCTGGCAATGAATCCAATAAAACATGAATTCCTTTAATTTTTCATTGTGTCTCACCTATTGGTTCGCTTAAAAGGCAATTACAATCACAACAATTCACGGTTATGGTTGAGGAATCTCTGAAACACGTTAATCATCGCTGGTCCGCCCTGTCGGATAATACAGACGATCAAAAAGATGGAGGGGGGGGAAGATATAAAAAGACATGGGAAACAGAGACTAATAAAAAAAGTAAAATGATATATGGCAAACGTTAAAATACACATGACTAAAAAAGATAACCATCTGCGCTACTTGTTTCATCCACCATCAATTCGGTAAGCATGGATGGACTTGATCGATTAACAAAACTTATAGATTTCGGAACTTTTTTTAGCGGTTAAGTTTCATACGTTTCAAATTGCAAAAATTACACTAACTTACTACGTCGCAGACGATTCAGTGCACTACGTTAATATATATAATATAAAATACTTTTGTATTACTTGAGTTATATGAACAGTTTAAATTTTCAGAACGTTGAAATTTTAATCGATTTCAAACAATTACTATGGAATCTGGGAAATAATTTATTAAACTTAATTCATGAAGAAATTTTCTAGGCTAAAATTTGTCAGACATGAAATTCTATTAGCTGTGATAAATAAGCTTTAAAATAGAGAAAGTCCTTTTGTTCTTTTTAAGAAATTATCTCCGTTTTTTCTTTTACAGATAAACGAAATTTATAACCTGCTGGCATTTCATATTATATCTTATATTATGTAGTAACATGCTTTAGATCAGTGGTCTCAAACTACCCGCAGGACAAATGTACGATCTGAAAACAGATGAAGTACCAGATTTTTTTTTATTTCTTTCCACCCTTTTTTACAAAATGAAAAATTTCATTAACAAAACAAAAAATATAAATTTTAAATTTCCCTTACTAAGTATTTCTCAAACCACATGTAAACAATAACAATAATATCGCAAAGAAAAAAAATCAAATTTATATTTATTTTCTGTCTGAAATCTAAAGTTTGGTAAGACATTTTTGTTGGTTACACTTTGTAATTCAAATACATTGACAGCTAAATATTAACTCTTAGACTGACATTTTTTTAAAATAATTCTTAATAATTAAATTCTGATTAATTTAAATATTTAATTTAATTTAAACTTAAGGTTAAAAACATAATGAAAACTATATAATTTTTTTTGAGAAAATTTACCAAGTGGGACGAAACTTGAAAATAAATAATAATAACCCAGTCACTTTCTCTTATTTATTAAATTTTATTCAATACAAACATAAAAGTACATATGTTTGTACGTGAACAATTATTAATTTTGTAATTTTTTACTACAGTTTCAGTATTTTTTTACTACAGTTAGTATTTCTATATTGATCAAGTTTGTAGATTTGGAAATTATTAGAAATTATCTTCAGCACGGACTATAGATGTTCATCGACCAATCGATTTCTTTTCTTACTAATTTTCAACTATGAAAAAACGTTACTTACATATAAATGTACTTCCAAAAAAGTGATTATTCCCGATTTATTACTA